TCCCTCCATCATTGAGGCTGATTCTTCCCACTCGTGATTACGTGAGGTTCGCCTATCCCCTCCCCTGTTCCCCCCCCCCCCCCCCCCGCCTGTCTCTGTCAGACCCGAGATGCATAAGCAACCCCCCCCCCCCAACCAATCCTAATGGGACACTGTTCACCTTCGGTTCGCCTTGTAAGCTGTAAGTAAGACCCTTCATACGCGTCTCGCAAGTAAGCATCGATGGGGACGACAAGGCAACGGCACTCCACCCTCTCCGTTTCTGCCTGGAGCCTGGGTGAGAATGTCGGTATGCTTAACAGTATCGCGGCCTCCACTTCGACTCTCCGAATCCCAGCAGCCTTGTAAGGCGTCGTGGGCCCTGTAATTGCTGACATGACGATCACAGACCAAACTGGGTGTGTAGCATCGGCTGGAGCGGCTCTACATGAGATCACCATGTAAGTGCATGCAAGGCAGGTATTCAGGGGGGGGGGGGGGGGGGGGGGGGAATAAAAGAAGCCCGGGAATCCTTCTGCAGTTCTCATCCAATCTTAAGGATTTGTTATCCACGCACCGCATCTCGTCGAGGCAACACCATACTATCCACCAAACATGAACTGCAACTCATCCTCTTCTTACAAATCAAACTTATCTGCATCTCTCACCCGGCGCCTATGCACCCGCTGCCTCGAGCCGTACGAGTCCCAGCATGTCTGCCACCAATCTCAGAAGCCCCGCGTGCCGGAACGGCTTGATGCGCCGTCAATTTTGAAGTCAGATTGGTAGGCATCATTCCAGTGATAGAACTATGAGTGTCAGTATTGGCTAACATGTAACTAGCTGAGAAATCTGCTGGAGAGGGGTTAGCTCATAGCAGCTTTTTGTGACTGCGTTACTGCTTGAGAATTATTGTGACTTTGGAGTATGTATAGCATCATACCCAGGCAGGCGCCTGGAATCTTTAACACCGTCAAGGTCGAAAATATTTAAGCCATAATCAACAGCACCTTCCTTGCTCTTGTAAATAAAAATGCTACTCTGTTAGCTTCGCTTTGTATTCGGTCTTCATACATCTATATGTCAAGATTGTATCATTTCGCCCAAAGCGCCTACCCGAGGGCGATTTCTCACCATTCATCGTTATTATGAATAGCTTCAGAGAATGCACTGTCGATCGAGTGAAGCAATGAATCATTACTGTGACACCATTGACTTCATCAGCTTCGCACAGACGCCCATTCCCATTAAGATAAGGCATACCTACTTTTATTTCAATAGGCAAGAAAACTTAACATGGTCGGTATCCTCTCTTACAATCGGCTTGCGGTGACTGAGCTTCTCTGCGAAAATGAAGGAGGACTGGGAGAGTATGAGGTAGGTCGAGTTGAGCGAATGGCCCGAGTGTTCTTCATGTTGGGTTGGATTGGCGTCTACACGAGGAGAGCCAGAGTATGAAGCATTACACCATTGGCTGGCCGTGGTATGTCAAGCCTCAAAGGCAAAACGAAAAGGGCCTCATAAATCTTTGAGCAATTGCGCAGTTTGCCTCCTCTTGAACCTTGACTTGAGCCGGGTGAGACTGCCATTTCACAGTGATTCATGTTGACTCTGCTCATCACTCGCATGGTCTCATCATTTTGGGTATTAACGTCTCATTCCGTATGTTTGTTTTTTGTATACCGGCCCCGAAAGTCATGCTGTGTATTGTACAAGCGTAAGCCACGCAACCCAACACCGCCAGCCATGCCAACCGCCCAGAAACCAGAATAGGTGAACCGAATGCCTTGATTGTTCATTAAACAACATCCCTTACCCATCCATTCCTTTACCAGCCCTTGACACCTATCAAAGCCATTGTAGTAAATCACGTTGCGAAGGGCGCCGCCATGCCCCAGTCGTAATGCGCCGTCGCGTAACGCGCGACGCCGCGTAGGAATTGAGCCTACCCAATGACCGCTGAGAGGCCAGAGAACGCCGTCGGACAGAGCGTCTCTATGACTCTTCAGTCCGGCGGGGTCCACGCTGGGAGATGGAGCCGCCGCGCTGGCCGCCGCCACGTCCCCTTCCACGGCCGTCACCACGGTGTCCACGGCCGCCGCGCCACTCACCACGGCCACGGCCGCGGTAGCCTCCCTCACGATCGCCACGGCCGCGGTTGCGACCCTGGACCTGGTGGAAGCCGTCGTTGGGGTCGGCAGCAGCGGGGGTAGGAGTCTAAGTACAGTCAGTTTCTCGTTCCATTATCACAGCTCGCAAGAGACATACCTCGGGCTGGGTCTCCTGATGCTCAGGCTGGTCATCGGCCCAAGACTGAGTGTTGGAAACGGCAGCGGGGGTAGCCTCGACGCCAGTCTCAGTCTCTGTAGGATCGCGGGGAACAGAGACCCATTCCTGAGAAAGCGACATGCTGTTATCGGCAGACTGGTCCCACTTCTCGCCGGCGGCGTTACCGGCGCCACTACCGATGTTGGCGTTAGTGGGGGTCTCGGTGGCCGCTTCCTCGGTCTGGCCGTTGGTGATGGCAACATCGCCAGCCTCGATCTCGTTCACGGTAGCGTTAGCAATGGTCGGGTCGGTAACGGCTTCGGTCGCGGCGGTCTCGGTCTCGGTCTCGGCGGGCGCGGGCTCATCGTAAGGAGACTTGTAGGCTTTGGCAGCTGCCTTGACTTGGCCGACTAAGCACAGAAGGTCAGTGTGGAATTCATCATCGAGGTGCGAGGAAAGAGCTTACAGGTCGTCTCGAGCAGCTCGCCATTGACGCTGTACGTCTGCTCCTCGGCGCCGTCAATCAGCTTGAGCATGGTGGTGACAGCACTATCGTCACCGGTGTAGATGGCGAGCAGGACACCCTCCAGAGCCTTGTTCTCCTCGTTGCTCTGGTCAGCATCCTCGGAGCGGCGGGCGGCAGCAAGGCGAAGGAATTGTGACAGGGTGAGAAGCTTGCTGTTGATGCTCTTGCTAGAATCACCATCCTGCTGAGCCTGCTGAGCCTTCACCTCGGCGACGGCAGCGGCCTTCTCCTTCTCCAGCTTCTCGGCAAAGGACTTCTCCAGCTCTGCCTTCTCAGCAACGGCACGAGTGCGGTACTCCTGGTCGATCTTCTTGTACTGGGCCATCTGCTCCTCGTACTGGGAGATCTGGGCCTGCAGAGCAGGCTTCTTGAGGTACTGAGCCTTCTGGTCGGCATTGATAATGCGAGCAGCGACCAGGTCGTCAAGGGACTTGCCAGCGTTCTCGGCAATTAGGTTGTCGATCTTGGAGGCATTGGTCTGGCAGGTGGGAAGTTAGCTGATGAACCTTGCCACAGAGAGGGGTAAAGGTAAAGGGTAGGCACGAACAAGCTTCTTGTTGGTGTTGCGAATGTTCCTACGGGGCGTAATTAGCACACGAGCAATGGGACAAGGTCCAATCGTTGATTTCCACCTACTTCTGGATCTCGCGTATGTAGGCAGTCTCGCCGGACTCGTCGGAGGCGTCAGCCTTCTCGGGAGCAGGAGAGGCAGTAGGAGCAGGGGACCCGGTGCGCTCGGCGGCCTTGGCCTTCTTCTTCTTGGCTGACTTGGATTCGGCTTGGACCGCGGGGTTCTGAACGGGAGAGGCGGCCATGTTGAAGCTTGGGAGGAGCGCAGTCAACAGGTTCGTGGTCGCGTGAGCTTGAATGGGGGTTTTCCAGGTATGGTGGTGGCCAGCTACGGGCAGAGAGCGCGCAGGTGAGAGGCAAGTAAACAAACTCGTCGAGAGTAGGGTAAGGTGGGATGTACAATCGTAGGAAGGAAGGTCCTAGGATCGAAGAAGGATACTCAGAGGAGAGGCGTTGTGATGGGGGAGAAAGGTTGAGGTGAAGTTATTGTGAAGAGGTGGATGTGCAGGTTTTGGATGGATCAAATTTGGAGGTTCGCGGAAGATGACACTCAAGCTCGTAGACGGCAGGCAGGCAGGCAGCTCGGGGGGCGGACTGCACCTCAGTGGAGGAGACATTGTCGGCCGGGAGAAGCTGAGGCCCCGGGATACCTTTTCGGTGGGGGGTTTTCAGGCGTTCAGGCGGTGATCCAGCCTGGGAGTGGATTCCCAGGAGCTGAGGAGCCGGAAGCATCCCTGCCGCCAGGCTACTTTTCCCCTTGGGTTCCCCTTCCCTTCCCCTAAAAACCCCTGCCTCCACTCCCCCCCCCGCCGGGGTTCTAGAACTGGTCAGAAGAAAAGGTACATTCACTTGTACTGAGGTGGAAGACGAAGACCCCACGGAGCATTGGAGACACCTCAGGTCTTCAAGACTGCATGTTTCGGTTTCAATCATTGGCATGTTCTATCTGGCAATTTTCTCGTCTACCTGAGTGTCCCAGCAACCTGATTACGGATAGGTACTAAGTATAATGCGTTGTTGCAGGTCTTGATTCATCGTACTACACCTCGCGACAACATCTTCTTCTGTGTCTTTAACTCCTGGCCTTCCCTGTTCGGATGACGTACCAGACAGGGCATTTCAGCCTTGTCTGGGACTAGCCGGTGCTCTCTCTCGGGGCTATCTACGGATGTAATCTGTACGCATGCGCCAGTCCCCCGTAGTACTCAGGCCGCGAGCATCACCCGCACCCATTAATGGTAATGAACGAATCCATGGAGACGCACTAGGTCGCCATCGACCAGGGCGTCATGGTCGTCATCCAAACGTTGACGAGGCTCAGGCCGGTGCTGTTCAGACGGAGGGGCCACTGAATACCCACGCCCTGCTGCTCCAACCATTGCGTGCTGACCCGACGAACAAGATGGTGGCCCCCCATGAGGCGAGCCTCTGTTCCGTCGCAAGCCAACGCCCAAACCTCGGGTTTGATTTCATCTTTTGCATAATCCTTCTATACCCGGCATGTTATTTTGTTAATGGTCACCATGTGACAGCATCGGGATCGCATTCTGGCGTATCCGGCCAAGTTGATGGCACTGACGGCCTCGGGTCGCGAAGTAGATGGGCCTGTGTAAGTCTCGAGTAGCTTCTGGGGGTCTGATATCGATGAGTTGAAACGTCATCCTCGGAACTTGGTGAGAGTATCCTGCAAAATCCGATGTTAGCCTTCCATGCAATCAATTCTGCCGTTGGTGTGATTGTGCAACGTACCGAGGTCACCTTCTTGACACTTCGGGCCGTGATGCCTCTTTCGCCAGACTTCTTCGACTCAATGGCGGCCTCTTTGACTAGTCTATCAAGAAAGTCAGCGTCTGGATGTACTGTGATTCAATTTCATAGCTTACGTCTGCATGAACAGAACATAGTCGAGGTAGATCTGAGGGCGGGTCAGCGGGTTGTGCAAAGGCGCGTCAGCAAGCGACTAACCATTACGTCCACATTCTTGCTCAGGTTGCAGTTCGAGTGAGCCTTGATGATTTTTTTGACGGTACCGCGCGGGTACGCCTTCTGACCGGGTGCCATTGCGAGTAGTTGCAGAATGGTGTATGGCGGTGATGACCCAAGTAGTTGAGGCTGGAGTTGCAGGATTGAGGTGTCGCGTGCAAGCTGTCGCGACTCGGTGTGACGTTCCGGTGTGGGGGAGAGCTTTTGTTTTGTTTAGGTGGCACAGGCCAGGCCGCCAGCGGCAGTTCCCGCGGTGAAGAGACCTTGATTGAACCTCCCCCGAAAGTGGGACAGTGCATGACCCCTCCGCACTGTGTGGCGTCACTGTGACCCTCCTTCTGAGCTTTTTGGGAGCTCCAGTGTTGAGGCTGTCATCGACACCATCGTCAAACACCACGCATTACGTTGCACCACACACTACCAAGATGTTGTCAAGGCGCATGGTACGATTTCTGCATTCGACGGCTCGTTTCTCATGCTGACACCATATTTACAGCTTACCAAAGCGGACGAGGAGTCCGTCGGCGACGAGGTCGAGGTTAGGAGGGAGGACCAAGACAAGATCAATAAGTTCAGTCGTCTGCACCAGCGCGAACTCATGATTGAGGAGGAACTCAAGAACAAGAGCGTTAGTCGCACCCCCTTCCAACCGAAAAGCAACACCATCTAATATTTTATATCCTTGCAGAAAGAAAAGGAAGAGCTCGACGATCTCAGCACAGAATTGGAGCTCGCCGACGAAGACGAGACAGTACCGTACGCTGCCACGAACACACCCCTATGACGCACCGAAAGATTATACTGACGATCGGCTACAGATACAAGATTGGTGACGCCTACTTCCACGTAACACAGCCTCAAGCGATAGAAATGCTCGAGCAGGCTTCAACCAAGATCGAGGAGGATGTCGAGGCTTTGGAGTCGAAGCTGGAAACGATCAAGGAGGATATGAACCAACTCAAGGTCGAGCTGTACGCCAGATTCGGAAAGAGTATCAACCTCGAGACATGAAGAAATGCAATCAAGAACAAACTTCAACGTCGTCCCATATCGCAGCGCCGCTTCAGGTCATGGACACTCAGAACACTGCCGTCAACATCGTTGCCAAAATGAGGAGCAACGTTTTTCCGGTGCTGCGGAAGTTGGTGCGACTAGAAGGGATCTGATAAGAGTACCTAGATGCTTTCGGCCGTCTCAAGCTCCCCGCGGTGGGTGTGCAGTCTTTGGACAACGCATACCTAGGTCCATTCTGAGACGCAGCGGCGCATTCCACTAGCGGTGGCGTCTTTCACCGGTGACGGCATCGTTATCCCTATGAGTCGTGACGAACCGCGGCAGTCGATGGCGCTATCGCAAACCCAAATGACCTTTGTGAAGGGGCACAAGGGCAGCACCGGGGATGCGGCGGGAAAGCACATCGCCGCGCCGCGGCCGGATAAGCGGCCCTCGAAAACCAAGTGGGTCTTGCGGTTCGGCTCCGATGAGTCCATGACAAACCAATGGCGAGACACGCCCTTTCTCCTCGTCTAGTTTACTGTTTCCCCCCTCCCCTCATCCCGCCGTGAACGGGGATAAGACTTCGTCTCTTGTCTCTTACACCCGGCCACTCAGGAATGCTTCTCAGTTGCTAAATTATGAAAAGATGGTGGGAACGAGGACTAGACCGGCTCGGTCCACAAGGGTGATCGGCCACATGCAGCATGCAGTCACCGATTTTCGGGCAAATGTGATTTTTGGGCCATTATTCTTTGGGCCATTAATCATCCATTTCCGTATTTGACCAACACCCTCACCCACACCTCCCTCCCACACTTTGCTCTCCCCTCGTGTCTTCTGAGATGGAGCCCCAACACAGAAACATATCAGCGTGTGCCAGTACGCTGCTCACAGTTCGCCATGCCCGCCCACAGTGAACCCGCGGAAGATGTCACAGATAGTCTGCCGTACTTGCAGCGTGGGTATCCCCATGGTTAACATCCTTCGTAACCAATGTCTAATGTTCCACAGGCAACCGGTCCTATTTATCAGAGACGGTGAGGAGGAGAGGTGAAGGTGAAGCCCGTGAAAGATATGAGGCTCGTGCCGAGGAGCAGGGCCTTGACGAAAAGAAGATAGTCGGTCCCAACTCATCAAGCGACGAAGATGATCCGACGATAATATCTTGGGATGATGGTGACCCAGAAAACCCGTACAACTGGTCACATGTATGTTCTGATCTCACATTTGCAGATCCAGTCACTAACCAGCTACAGACCAAAAAGCTCCTGATCCTTTGCCTAACCATGATGCAAGTCATCAACAGCACCATGGGCTCAGCCCTCCCATCCAACGCCATCCCCTTCATCACCGCCGAATGGGGCATTACAAACGAGCAACAACAAGTCTTACCCATCTCCGTCTTCCTCATCGGCTACGTCTTCGGACCTGTAGTCTGGGCACCTCTCAGCGAGCATCTCGGTCGAAGGATGTTGACAATCATAACTTTTGTCATGTTCACCATCTGGACCATGGCTTGTGCTCTCGCCCCCAACTGGCCTGCATTTCTCTTCTTCCGCTTATTTACTGGCGTCTTCGCCAGCTCACCAATCGCTATCGTGGCCGGTATCCTTGCAGATATCTACGGTGACACCGAGACCCGCGGCCGCGCAATGGCAGCTTTCATGGTCGTAAGTTAACACCAATGACTTCCCAAGATTACTACCAAAGAAGCCTTGCTAAATCCTCATAGACAACCACCTTTGGCCCCCTCTTCGCCCCAATCGTCTCCGGCTTCTGTTCCACGACAATAGGCTGGCGCTGGTCCTTCTGGGTCGCCCTCATCTACGCCGGCCTAACCCTCGTCCCAATCCTTCTTCTTCCCGAGACCTACGCACCCGTCCTCCTCCTCCGACGCGCACAAAAGATCCGCAAACTCGACCCCTCGGCCGCCGTCATTGCGCCCTGCGAGATGGAGAGCACCGACTTCAAGCACATCGCCACCGTCGTCCTAACCCGCCCCGTACGCATGATCATCTTCGAGCCCATCGTCAGCTGCACGTGCGCCTACCTGGCCCTGGTCTACACAATCTTCTACATGTCCTTCCAGGCCTTCCCCATCATCTTCCAGAAGCTCTACGGTCTCTCGCCCGGTGCAGCTGGACTAGCCTATCTCCCCATAGGTGCCGGCGCCCTGCTGGTGGTGCCCATCTTCATCGGCTGGGAACAGGGCCATCTCCGCGCCCAACGAAGCGGTCACACGTGGGCGAAGCGCGAAGAGTTCCGCCGTCTCCCTCTCGCCTGTGTCGGGGGGCCGCTCTTCTTCATTTCCCTGTTCTGGCTGGGCTGGTCTTCCAGAGAGGACGTCAGTTTCGTCGCGCCCATGCTAGCGGGAATCCCGTTCGGAATGGGGTTCATGCTCATCTTCATCGCCCTGCTCAACTACCTCACCGACGCCTACGAGATCTTTGCTGCCAGCGCCAACGCGGCTGCCTCGACGAGTCGGTCTCTGCTCGCTGTTGTGCTGCCGCTGGCGACGACGCGTATGTTTAACAAGCTTGGTATCGCTGGTGCTTGTAGCTTGCTTGGTGGCTTTAGTGCCATTATGTGCATTATCCCCTTCATCTTTATCTGGAAGGGCGAGCAGATTCGAGCGGGTTCACGGTTTTGTATTGCGCTCAGGGAGAGGAAGGTTGAGATGCAGAGAAAGGTGGAGGAACAGAAGCAGAGGGAAGAAGCGAGGAGGGTCAGGTTGAGGGATAGCCCTGGGGCCCGGAAAGAGGAGGTTTGAGTGGTATGTGTCACGAATGAATGAATCGACGAGGATGCTCCCGGGGCTGGTCTATCGAAAGTCAGAGATGAAATATCTACCGAGAGAGAGGGAAACACTATCAACGGAGGCATCTATAACGAGAGTGATTGCAAGAGGACTGTCGATGACATCCCCTCAGTGGTAGAGGGGTAGACTCTCTGGGTAAAATGGCTGATAGGGCCATTTCTATCGAGAAGTTGTCTTTATTCAGCAAAGGTCGGGAGATCTTGCGTTGAAGGGGATTGGGGGAGGAACACCATGTCCGATGAGGCATGGACACAACATGGCCTAACCCTTTCCCGGGGTGAGATGGACACTGAACACAGACAGCATTGACGCTGATCAACCAAAAGCAATAATCCATAACACATAATACAAATTGCACCATACCCAGTCACTTCTGCTTCCGGTGCAGGTTCTGTAATAGTTGGGATGTAATGGTATGTGGGACATAAGAGCATGTCAGATGGAGGAATTCACGCAACGATTTAGCTTCTCCGAGGCTCGAACTTGCCTTCACCGTTGCTTTCCAACATTCTTTTGGACACTTTCTCTCACTGAGATGCGGCGTGATGGCTGAACTTCCTGACAGGCTTTCCTTGCATATTTTGAAGTAGTTATAGAGCGTCACGTAGCCGAGTCGGTCTCTCGGCGATGCCGGAAAGTCCTTCGAGCAGACTCGCTGGTAGTTTAAAGTAGAAAGAGCCTTCCCGGGGGCGCGTTGTTTCATGACAGTCTAGATAGAGGCTGCGAGACTCAATCCGCCCAAACGTCCTAGTCAATTGTCTTAGATTTGCACATAAAGCAGTGACGCCTCTCTCTCTCTCTCTCTATCTCTCTCTCTCTATCTCTCTCTCTTCGGCTCCCTCTAGAACCTTGATAGCTTAGAAGCGGACTTCGCACAAGCCCATGCCGTTGACGCCCACTGGCCGCAAGGGGTCTTCCTCTATACCGAGAGCCTGAGTTTCTTGGCTAAATTTCAGGTACTTTGGGTAGTAGTAATCACATTGCTCATTGACACTGTTGATGAGCAGGATCTCTTCCAAGAAACGCTCGGTGAAGGTTCATACTGTATGTGTTGTTCTACATTCAACTCCAAGATATCGCCCTTCAAACTGCCACCGACAAAATTGCCTGGCTCATCATCCCATTGGAAAAAACATTGATCTGTCCGCCAAGAATCTGTAGAGAAGAGAAGAGTAGCCACGCAGGCCGAGCAGACGTACTTGCAGCCCTCGTTAGCGGCCGATCGGTCTCTTGAGGATGTTAAAGTAGCTCGTCTTGCGGCTGGTGGTATAAAAGAGAGTTCTTTGCCCGTTGGCGAATCTCATGGAAAGTATGTCGCCACTCCGCTGAAGACATGTCTGTACAGCCATTTGGTTAGCATGTCCTCGTTTTGGAGGTCTGCATTGGCGTAGAGGGAGAAGCTCGATGCAGCCCTTGAGCAGGGTTAAATACCAGAGAGACTGCCACTTAATCTCAGCCTTGCCTATTGTATTATTCTGCAGCGTATATTAAGTCAATAGTAACGGAAGGTTATGATATGTAGGGCATGTATTGGAAAATAAGTGATAGACCTGCTTGAACCCGGCCTCTAAGATATTGGCTTTACTAGCCAACTTTCAGCTTCTTCCATTACTCGTCGAGTTGAAGACTCACGGCATGCTAGCGTGCAAGAAGGCTATTTCCAATTGGTCCAACTATGCTTTCAACATAATAAAGCCAGCATGTCAGGTCGCTTTATATACCCGTGTTGAACGTCCCTTTACCAACGAAGCGATTAGCTCGGTACCCTAGGCAGGTCATACGAGCTGTCGCATTCTAGCTATAAGTACCTTATATAAAGAAGCATTATGCCATAAATCTCGCTATCTATAGCATCCACTAAAATGGCCGGATGGCCGGGTTAGGTACTCTTTCGTTTCCTTTGAGAATTTGGTATCCCCAAGGTACCAAGGTCAGCTTCCTAATCCTCACTACCTCGTCATCCTGACCTCGTACCCCGCGACCACTGTCGTCCGCATATTCTCAAGCAATACGTAACCGCCATGGCTGAACGTTGGCTAGAACACCTGCGTATAGGACCAGGTTTCGATGTTTGTAGATTTGGATGCGACTCAATAGATGTAGCACCCACTGAGACACTTGTCAACGCGAAATCTGGAATCAGCTGTTGTTCTTGAGGAAATTACTGACGGTGGGAATTCCAACGGGTCTTAAATACTCTGGGCTAGCAATGGGAAAGCTCCCCTAGGCTCCTCGGTCAGAAGTAGTTGATTTGTGGTGGCCTGGCTACCCTATCTCACCTCCTGCCTAGCTCCGATCTGACATCGCTGCCTTTTACGTCAGCCGTCGCAATCTTTCAACCCCCCGCCGTGCGAGAGTCATGTGCCGAGCACGCAACGAGACTTGTGTAAGAACCTCCTGTTTGAAGCCGAGTAGCTTCAAATCGACGCAGAAGACAAGCAGTGCGATTCACACGTCTCCCCCAAAAATGGAAGCGAGTCCTCGGTAGTGTACACTGCTCAAGTCTCATCTTTTTGCGACAAAGTCGTGCTCAAGCTGTATGACTACCTAGTGGACTTCACCGCCACGACACATCATCATCATCGGCCTCTGCCATATGTCCTGCCACAAGACAGAGACTCCGAATCTGGGCCGTGGTTTGGACTGAAGCATCGCTTGGGCATTTTTGCCTTGTGTTGAACATAGCTTGATACGAGGGGGTGAGTTAGGGAGAGAAAAGAAAATTAAGACTCGTTAGCTGACAAAAGTTGTGGTTGTGAGGCTTGCAATACAGCAGGTCTAGAAATGTCACTCACTCATCGAGTCGTTTCGTTCTAAGCCAAGCGTTTCGGGCGAGGATATTTCGAACCATGAACAGAGCAGAATCACATTTCAAAGTGGCCAAATGTCAGAGTCTCACAAACTCAGTCACATCCATCCAGAGGTTCATCTCAAGTTTCACAAGAAGTCGAAAGAAAGTTGAAATAAACTTCCCGTTTCGTTTCAGCAGCATGCAGAGGTGTGGGAAGAAAACCATCTCATCATTTCAGACCAGGGGGTGTTAGAGACCAACTCAAGTCGCACCAAACCTCATCCCCATTTTGACTGTCTCGTCGAGTAAAATAAGTATGTAAAAATAGAAGTGAACAGTTTTCTGGATTTTCTTGAGCAGAAATAGAAAATAATCTTGTTTTGGTCCCCAACGACCCGCTACGCGAATGCAATGATGCCCATTGATCTTTCCCATAAAACACATAGAATGCTTTGACCACCAGACAAAATAAACAACCCTCAATGGACTCGCCATACCAAAGGTTGTCCCCTTTTCTTTCCCGTCTCTAAAGCACAAGAGGACAAAAAAGAACACCACACCAAAAAAGCAGGCAGGACCGAAAAATAAAGTGCGAGTTAATTGTATTTCCCACCCCGACTCGTGTTGTTTTGTACAAAAAACTTCGCTTTATTTTCACCCCAAGAAGTGTATACAAGACAAAAAAGTGTAAGAAGCATAAGAATGTGTTTGTTCATGAATCATAGATTCTTCTCATAACCAAATATAGCTTGACATGGGGGGGGGGGGGGGGGATCAATCTACATCAAACACTTAGAAGAGCTTGTTGGAGCGCTTTGAGTAGCCGGTGGGCTTAGCGGCGCCGGAGGCGGTGCCGTTGGTAGGGTAGGGGGCAACGGTGACGGTGGTGGAAAGGGTAACAACGTCCTCGTCGGCGGGGCAGTCATCCTCCTCATCGTCCTCGCCGTTAGCACCGGTAGTGGCGGGGGCCTCAGCGGAGGTGGTCTGGCTGGCGGAGGGGGTGGCAGCGGGAGCAGAGCCACCGATGGTAACGTAGACGGTGGAGGCGGGGGCGGTGACGGTCACGGCGGAGGGGCAGGCGCACTGGCCGTCGGCGCCGAGGGTACCGCTGGGAGAAGCAGACTCGGTGGTCTGGCCGGGGCGCTTGATGGTGACGGTGCGGGTACCGGTGGAGGTAGCGGTGGTGGTAGTAGTGGGCTCCTCGCCGGCACCGGTGGCAGAGCCAGTGGGCTTGGTGACGAGGATGGTAGACTCAATGGTGGTGGGGATGGCGGTGGTGATGACGGAAGCGGTGGAGCCCTTGCCGACGGTCATGGTAAGGGTCTTGGTAGAGATGATCCCGGTGACGGTGGTCTCGACATCGCCATTCTCAGCGGGGCAGTCATCCTCCTCCTCCTCGTCGCCGCCAGCGGTAGGGGGGCTGGTGACAGTAGGGTCCTGAGCAGAGTTGGTGACACCGGCGGTGGACAGGGGAATGGTGGGAGCGGCAGTAGGGGTGGTGATGGCGGGAGCGGTGCGGGTAGAGCCCTGGAGACCGCCGGTAGAGTGCTGCTGAACCAGAGACTGGGAAAGGCTGGCGGCCTCGGTGACGGGGCAGACAACCTCGGTCAGGACAACAGTGTTGGTGACAATGTAGGTAGAGAGGTCAGAGGCGGAGAGGGTGGCGCTGCGAGCAGGGCAGTTGGTGATGGTAGGGGCGCAAGAGGTGACGGTAGCAACCTCGTTGACCTCGACGGTGAGGGTGGTGTAGCCGGCGGGAGCGGTAGAGTTGTCGCGGCGCCAGTGGAAGTGGCGGGGCTGGTGGGCGGAAGCACTGGCGAGCGAGGCCATGAGGCCGACGGCGGCAATGCAGGACTTCATTTTGATAGATGTGTATGGGTTTGTTTCCAACGACTCTTTAGGTTGTTTGTTCGGATCGGGGGATCGTAAAAGGGGCGAAAGATCAATTTCGCGGGGGATGTTTCTCAAAGTGTTGGCTGCAAGACACAGTTTGCGCAAATGAACGAATGGTATACTCAATAGAGAGCGTGGGTGAGGCTGAATGAATGGAATGTGTCCGAAGACTGACAACGAAAGACTGTGCGGTGGAGGGAGAAGGGAAGAAGAGTAGGTGAATGAGAGGAAGGGCGAGACGGTATTTAGAAGAGGAGAGGGAGGTCAGAGTCCTTTTAGCCCGTGGAGCCCATGGTGGATATACATGGGCATGGAAGCATGGGGGTGGGAGGGGAGCCTAGAGGGACGTGGACTTGTGGATAGGATCGAAATCCTCAAGGCTCGAGGAGGAGGGTGGACTGTGAGGAAGGGAGGGGGGGGGGGGGGGGGGGTGGCCCCCGGGTGGGAGCCACATTAGACCGTGGGCCCTTCATCTTGGAGGGTGATGGATCATGGTGTAGGGTATGAACCATGAGAGAAATGCCATGGACATTTGGGATTGCAGGTCCAGGGCCCGGCCGAGACCAGTTGCGCTTGCAAGGCAGGCCCAGCTTGCCAGCACAACGAGGGACTTTCCCACTTACACAGCACCAGTCAAACTAATCAGAGAGCGAGAGGGAAAGAGGGAGCAAGGAACTTTGTCGCGGTTCAGCGGCGTAGGCGCATCGCACCGCATTAGAGGTGGACCAACTGGGGCCAAACGCTTGCTTGGCCCGCATGGGATAACATGGATGCCAAGGAAGTGTACCTGACATGGTGAAGTACATTCTCCGTACGAGGTATCCGTAGCGTGAGGGTGAGAAGGAGATGGCAGGACGCGCGGGACTAGTCCGGCACCAAGCAGGAGAAGAGTGAGAGAGATAAGATGGCGGGATGGGATGGTACCTCGGGCTGAGGTGAGTGAGTGAGTGAGGAAGGGGAGAGTGAGTGGGCGAGTGAAGGTGAGAGCAACAGATGAGAGAGTGAGTGAGGGTGTGGTGTGTGTGTGTGTGTGTCGTTGGGAAGAGGCACGGAGTGGAGACTCACGGATGAGGTGGGAAAGAGAAAGGATGACGGCGCCGGGGGGTTCTCAAGGACCCTTGCTCGATGATCCAGGGGGTTACGAAGAACCGCTTCCCACCTTAGGAAGCTGGGCTAAGGAAGAGGCGAACCAGCGACCACCGCACCGCTTGCCGCACAGCCCTCGAGTGTTGCATGGGGGCAAGAGATGAAGCCGCCCTTTTTTCACTCTTCCCTCTCGAGGAGTCAAACGTCAAACCCACAGACGGAGTCCTCTTCATTAAAAGACAGGAGTGAGATAACCCCACCTGCGCCGGTGATGACGGCAGGCCGGGTGGCATTCGACGACGACGGCAATATGTGAGGGAATATGAGCGGTAGCAGTAATGGTTGACCTGGGTATTGAGCTATATGAGAGAATGTCAGCGTTGAGCAGTCATTGAGGTTAAGAGATGTGATGCACGAGTGAGGTGTACTCCGTAAGTGAGGTTAGGAGATGTAAGGCTTGAGGCTTGAGGTGACGGGAGACCGTTGATGTTGACTCCTTTTTCCGACCTTGTTTTTTTTCAAGAGGTACCGCTAGACGTTGTGTTTCCCCTTGCCAAAACAGGGAAAGTCCTGGGTGGCGCCTCCTACCACCTGTCAGCCCGTCGGTTGCCGTGCTCTGGCGGCGTGCGTGCCTGTGTGCCTGGCACTGCCCGCCTGTCGTCCTGAGTTTTGCCAGTTGTCAGCGCGGGCAGTCTTGGTCAGCTTACCCCTGTCGGCCCAGCCCCTGCCATCCCGCTCCTCATATGCAGGTACCGCCAAAACATGAGACACAAGCGTGGCCAATCGCCGGGATCCACACCATCCACATCAGCCAGAATCCCAGTCAAGATCGCGGCCACAGGCGCTCGGCCATCCCTGACTTTTCGTCGAGGGTGCGAGGGTCCCTGCGATAAGGTACCTTGTTGATCAATTTAATGAAAGATGTGACTGTGGGTTGTATGGGACCATACCTACGGAGCTGGGTACGGAGTGCGCTGTCTTCTGTATTACCTTACTCTGTGCTCCGTATTCGTGCGTAGTAGCTGAGAAACACGAGGGAACATGCATTAAACTCCCTTTTGTTTGCTGCCCGGAGCCGTACTGAAGCTTCTTCCATTACCATCTCTACGCCTTCTTTGCAGATGCCAGCAGACGGCGGCAGCACAAAAGTGGTCCAGCCTTCTCACGCTTGACCAACGTCTAGATCTCTTGCGGATCCAGTCAGTGGAGAGAGCGTACCCGTAGAGAGATTGATTGCCTCTTGATCATCGATCTCGCGCGCGCGGGCTGCCCTTTCTTCCTTGTTGAGCCTGTTCTTGACTTCTTGCATCATGCCGGCTTCGCAGCCTACAGGTCGACAGCGGATAGCCCCCCATCCTCAGACCTCAACGTCTACACAGTATCCCGGGCTGCTCAATTTGCTTTTCATTGAGAGACCATGAAAACGGTGGAGATAGCCTGTTGGCTGTTGCCGCTATCCCGTCCGCGGTCCCGAACCACAGACTTCGAACTTCGTGGCATTTTTGGTCCAAGGCCATGGTCCAGTGTATGCCGTACGACATTCAGACATACGAGTATCCGTCCGTATGCACGGCCGAGTCGTCGCTCGTATGTACACCGTATGCGTTCAACCCAATCTGTGCGCATATGCAAAGCTTCGGTCGACGGTCACAGGCGCAACAGATCGCTAACCGACTGACCGACAGTTGGCTCAGGCCCGTATCTGTACCTATTTGGTCAATAACACCATAATAAGGCGTGTGTCGTATTCTCGCAGACACGGCGATGCAAGTCTCAAAGATACCTACCTACCTACCTACCTCCCTCAGCCAGCCGACAGTTGCATCAATCTGTTAGGTTCTGTTTCCAAATATTCGTAGCTTACCGTTCTTTCCCCTCACTTGAAACCCCAGCCATTTCTCATTCTCTGTCCACTCACCGTTCAACTTTCATTGTCATCCGGTCTAGCGCCAACAGCCAGCCAACGGCACATTGACAAATGCAGCGGTTAAGTCTGATCCGGCGGCGCCAAACCAGAGTGAGCCACAAAAGGGCTAAAAATGAAAACGCCAACAGACTGCCGCTTAGCCGGGGGGTCCGTCTGCTTGACGTGTGGTCTCCCCTCTGCCCCCGTTGGCCCGTAGCGTCCTGGTCCGCTGCGATGGAGGCGTTTTAGCGACCGACCTCAAACTCACTTAACCTTAGGCCGACCGTTTTGACCCTGCCCATATTGATGTGACGTGAAGAGACGTGAGACGAACTATCCATAGACGCGCTGATAGAAGAGAACAGTCGTGCTGCGGTGCTAAATCCGTGATGAATGGCGACCGCGCCGCGCGCGCGCGTGCTGTGGCTGACCTTACACTGCCGCCGACCGGAAATATCTGTGACGAAGCGGTAGCCAGTCGATCCCTTTTGCGCCCCTATTGATATTCGCATGTGTCTCTGCACTCCTGCACCTGGCGCCGGCCTGCCGCTCACCGCAAATCCTTATCGGGAGCCCTGCCCTACGAAAAGCCATAGGTATCCGTATTGTTTGTTTGTCTGTAGTGAGTGACGTAACAGAAGACTGCACATCTCGAGATGCACCGCTTCCGTTGCAGTGCACGAGCATTTGCTGCCCCTCGTGCGACCTGACCCCTTTCCTGCGGGATTATGGATAAGATGGTAGCCAAAGATGTGTCGGGAATAGTCCGATGAAGCCTGTCGATAGTAGCATCTTTCAGTCGTGTTCAATCTTGTGTCAGGCTCCCGTGGCTAGGGGATCGGGACGGAAACTTGGAAGCGGAGGACAAAATAATGAGTCGGAGCGGCAGTGTGTCGGCTGGCTTCCTCCCCTCAATTCTTTGCCTCACATCATTAGGCGCTTTTAATCGCTTGGTCGACTCGGGTACCTTGCCTTAGACCAGATTTTAGCCAGGAACATGTCGAGGCACCGACCAACAGGGAGTCTGCGCTCAGCCCCTCGGTCCCCCCTTTAGCGGAAGACCTAGATTTGCTGACAGCCTCTCCAGAATCCAGTCTCTGTTGTGCGTCCTTACCGTGGTAATCTGTACTCCGAAGAACCAAATATCAGGGGGGGTCGGGTCAATGTGGCGTCTCTTCGGGGGGGGGGGAGAATGGGATCGACGCGGTGGCCCTGAAATGGTCCATTGTGTGCGACGTTGTCGCGCCATGCGTTTCCAGAGTTGTTGGAAGTTTTGGAACTTGGTAGTTTTGGCCCCCAGACTGACCGCCTGCCTCTGCCGCCGTGCCATTTCCCAGTCCATATCGTCACGTTGTCTCGATGCAACTCTAGACGGGAGCCGAAGGGACACGATCCATCGACTATTTCCCATCTGCCGTTGTGGCCAGCTGTGCCAAGACATGTGGTACGTGTGCGCCGACGTGGAGCAGAGAAAATTTCCGCCTTCTCCATGATCGTCCATCAGAATCGAAGATGGAGTTGGCAACGCCAGGTCCAAGCTTTATGAGTTGTCGTCCTCGTTCGTGGTCCGTGGTTTGTTCATCACCGCTGCGGAATGTTTTCGTCTCAGATGCCACGAGGATCGAATCGTTCTGTTCTGCATCCTCCGGGACTTGTTGGAATGTAGAACAAGACTCGGGTTTTCAGAGCTCAGCTCTTGGCCGCAGCTGGCTTCAGCTGGTACAACATGACGCTCAATGTCTTTTGCTTTTGTGCTTTTCGTGTGACCGAGAAGGCGTGGATGACCCTGCCGTAACCACCTAGGCAGCCAACCCGGCCAGAAACATGAGATCGAAACGACGGGATGATCTGATGGAAATGAGCATCATCAGACGGAGCAGAGTTCAGACTCATCCAGGTACCATTGCCCGTAGCCACAGTGACTGAAAGCCCAGTCCGCTGCTTGAGAACGGTTGCAATCCTCGCCATTTGGCTCATGGCCAAGCATTGAACCCCCGAAGAGAAGGATTTCAGACCCCCGAGGCGATCCCCTCGCCCCTCTCTGACGCTCAAGTGTTGCCGCTCGCGGTTACATTTCGCACCGCACCGCTGGCCTGTCAATCCTCGTCAGAATTCTTCCCCTCGGAATAGGCGGCGGAGACCTTCATCTGGGAAAACCCGCGGGAAAACTGCGCAAAGTTGCACGCAAGACTCCAGAAGTCCAGCCTCCGAGCCGCCAACCCACGGTGTCACGGACCACGGCCCATCGCCCCCTCCTCGGCAGGGATGGAAACAACCAAATCTCCCCCCTCAGGGTTCGCCCCGGAAGTCCCTGTCACAGACTGATTGTGTCGAGATTATGTCGAAATGTACCGTCTCCAGCACAAGTGTCTGCCAGTGCTGACACTTCTGTATGCAGGCTGCGAGGTGGTGTTCTTTTTTCTTCCTTTCAGCTCTGAGGTAATAACCATCAGATGAGCCGGCGGCGAGTCGTTACCCGGCAGTTCCCAACTTTCCGGAGAGCCTGGCCTGGCGGCCCTGGCCGGGTCTGGGTCATGGTCTGGGTCAGAGGTCTGGCGGCTGGCCTGACCTTGACCAACGGCAACCTGCATATTATTGCGCAGCTTTGCGATGGCAGCGATCCTGCTGGGTCGTTGTCTTAATTAATCTTGCAGAAAATTCGCGCTGGAAATTGCACACCTGGAGCTTACATTATCTTCACCTGAAGACCCCGGGCATTGATGATGAGTCTGGTCACTTCTGATGAGGCTTCGAGCCATTCGTACGCAGCCGCGTGCATCCTACCGGTGGGTTCGGCACAGACGGTGGACTCTGAAGCCTGAACCCATCGTCAGATTCAAAAGTGACTGTCCGATTGATCGATTGGTGATGGATTACTCCAGCTTGTCAGATTGCTTGTCAAGTTGTCAACGTCAGCCTACCTATTCGTACGGTCCTGCAATGGAAATAAGGTAACCCGCTGACGACGGCAACACGGCTCCCGCCCGGTCTTACTCCTGGGGCAAGGCGGGAAAGTGGCTCCGACTCGGCGACTTCAGCTCCTTCCTGCCCCTCGCCGTTCGGTGCCTTCCTGAGTTGGAATGAATCCAGCGCCTGTTCCGCTCCTTCCTCCGCCGCCCTTTCCTAAGTTTCTCCTCGGGAAGGTGGTCCCATCGTGAACTTGATGCCTTGATCAGGCAAGACTCAGAATACTGAGGCATCTACGGAGTATGGATAGATCTCTCACAGAGACTCAGACAAATCGGCGTCGGCCTATAGGTATTCCATTGCATTTCGCCCCATTAATTTGTCTTACAACATGGGAAGTTGGAACCAACACGGGATCGCCTTCACCGTCACCTCACATTCTTAACGGGGTGATCACTGATCTTGGACCAAGACACACTAACGCCACCCCGCCTTGCCTCCCGTCGTTGCTTCTTTCAACTTCCGCTTGCTTCACACCATCGCATCGCCCTCCTACGGATGGGTTCGCCTCATGTTGGTCGCAACCGCGCCGCAATTGCCGTTCCTATTCCCTGATACGAAGGCTTGATACTCTGTTGTAATCCTGCTAATGAAAAAGGACCGACCAGGCGAACCAAAGTCGGAACACTCGTCAGAAAACGTCAAACACGGTAGCTCCCTGGCAGGTTAGCACTGCCTCCTAGAGAGTTGGGAGTCGGGACTCTTGGGAGGGAGGGGTTCCTCCTGTCTGACACCCACGTCCTTGTTTTGAGTTTGGTCGCTTGCAGTTGTTTGCACAGCATTGGTCGCTCACCCGAAATTTCAACCCTGTCGCCAAGTATCATGCGGCAGCTCCGTCCCCATAATCGACCGGGTCGGGTCATTCTTTCGACTACAGAATACACATCGTTGCATGCTGAAGTCAGCGGAAGCCATTCTTGAGTCTGCGCAATTTTCACGAATCCAGAACCTCGGGTAGCAATCAAATTGGCATATTGAATGGATACCATCTTCATCACTTCCATGTCTCGCGTGGAAAATTCCCACAAGCCAAGAAAACCTGCTGCGCCACCCGTTCGTACTTGCGTCCTCATAGGGCACAATGACGGATGTCTCATTGAACGGGCCGCTTTCGACCGCCTTCCACTGACCCACGTGTCCGGAGCCTCCATCATCGACCTCACGACATCACTAGTCTCAGCCGTCTTGATTGGATATATCGATATTTCACTACGAAAGCACGAGCTTACCTTCCCGGTCCTGGACACTGGAAAGCTGCTCAGGAATAATCACCACAGAATAGAAGATGTTCACGAGCCACGAAGTGCCCTCTGAGAAACGGGTGTGGCTTTTGCTATACATATCGAGAGCGGACATTTCAACTCGAATTCTTCGATGCCAAGTGGCACAAGATGTTGAAAGTCCGAGGTTTATGGTCTGAGTTCTACCTTCTCGACGGCTTTGTTTGACAATAGTCAAAAGGCCATCTGAATGACCGAAGGAACTACATCAGCTAGCATATGACTTGGTTGGCGAGGACCTGCCAGTCAGAGAAGTGTAAAGCAGAGCCCTCTGGAGAAAGAAACCAGTTCAAATGCGGTTTATACAAGTGCTTGCAGACCTAAAGTCGACTTGATATCTCAGTGGACAACGTTCGCATAGTCGCATCCAAGCGGATGATTCGGAATGCTGTTCCAGAGGAATGCTCCAGAAAGACGCCCCAAGATCACTCTCCAAGACGGCGCTCCAAATCGGTGCTTCAAGCGATGCTCAACGACAGTTTTGGTGTTTTCGAATAGGGGTCAGGAATGGCCAACGCTATCTTACATGTACAACACCCATGGCTCCTGTGGTGGAATCCTTTTGAACAAGACCAAATCGAAGCATTGTGTCGATTCATACACCCAACGCTTGAGCCAAAGTCAAATATGCATAACGACCTCAACAGAAGCTATGTCAGATGGGTCGAAGGAGGGCAGTGGTTATATGGAGATCTTGGAGCAAGTGCTCGCCCTCTGTTTCAAGCACACGCAGTTCACACGTGCGGCGCTGCCTTTGTCACACGCTCTCACGAGCCGCATGTCATTGATGAGGGAGGCGGCTGTTGGTCTTTGATGGCCACTGCTCGACTTGAGTGCCCATGTTGCTTGACGATGTCGCCCCTGGTGACTGCCTTCAGTGAAAGCAACAAACCCTTGAGAAGGAACCCTCAGGGGCACCCGCTGTTTTCACTCAGCAGAAAATGACATCGTCAGGTCAGCCTCCCACAACCTGACAGGGCCTTCTGCTTTCCTTCTCTGCCCTTCATCCTCCACAGAAGCAGCTACTTGCCAAATTCTCACTCTTCTTCAACCTCTCTTTTTGGCTTTGGCCTGCTGCAAGACAACTTCGCTCATCAGACTTTCATTTGCATCATTCTCCTCTTGGGCAGGTCGAGCAGTTTCTTGGATTGGTACCGAGTATTTTTCTCTAGCCATCCAACTATCACCACCTCTTCGCTCGTTTGGAGATCAAATCAACCACAGAGAAAAGCGAGCATCCACCGGGGGAAATCAGCAAGATGGTGCGCGTCTGCTGCATCGCCATCCCCTCCAAGAAAAGGGGGGATGGCGGAGACGCAAAGGCAAAGGAGGCGGATTCTCCCGAGACAGTCGCGAAGGCCACGAAGTCGAAGGACGCGAAATACAAGAAAGCGACCTCGAAGGAGAAAATTCTGGCCCAGGTCCCGAAGCAGCCTCTTGTCGAATTGATCAAGCTACCTCCTCCAGCCAAGTTGCCCGGAAGCAACTACAATACGGAACTCCTGCTCAGCGGAACCAACACAGGAGGCTCTATTGCGTCCTCTCAACGCTCATACATGCGCTCTCCTGAGTTGGATTTCATTCCTGATCCCACCGAGGTCGAATATGTATCGGACCCCGAGGATCAAATCGAAGCACCCAGAAGGAGTGGCCCCTGGAGCAGACTCAGCCGACGCCGCTCTGATAACAGCAACAAACGATCTGACAGTCCCGACAGTGACAAGCGGGTGTCGATTGTCAGCATTCAGAGGCCCTCTTCCAATCCCGCTGCTACCGAAATAGATGGCTCCCCGCAGTACGACCAGGCTGCCTATACTTACTCTGTGAGACAGAACAACATGAGGCGCATCCAAGCCGACCTCGAGAGCGAGCATAGTTCGCGATCTGTCACGCCTGGAAGTAAGAGATTCCGTGGGTTGGAGACAGTGGTGGAGGTTTCCGGTGATCACCAAAGCGAGCGCCAGAGCGGACCGCGACCGCGGAGCGGCATAGAGGTGGAAATTCCCACCGACGTTTCTGCGGTTGATATAACCCGCCTGCCGCAGCCACCGCCTGCTGCCAAGCTTTCGAACGAAGGTGTTAAGGTACATCCTATCGATATCACCACTGGAGACCGCCGACGCAGCAGCTGCCCAAAGCCCGATACCTCCACGAAGGTATCGGCATCAAACGTCGTTCTTCGTGAGCGAGGATCACTCCCGGATATGCCGCCTCCCGCCCCAGTCCTCTCTGCTCGCCAGAGTCGCGCCGACCAGGACGACGAGTCTTTCAGAACTTGGAGGCTCTCCCAGTGCATCCCCCAAGGCGAAAGTCAGACGGCACTCTCTCTTCAACCTCAGGATATCCCCCTCCCCCTGGACGAAGAAAGCACAGCTGCCGTTGACGACAAGGATAGCTCTGAGTCCCAGTCTCAAGATGGTACGTCCAGCAACAGCGCAACCCTCTGCGACGCGGAAAAGCCCGATGACAAGCTCGCGGCCGAGTCCGTTGGTACATCACAGCCTCCCCGCACTTCGGAATCTGTACAGTCCCAGGATGGCAGTGGCTGGGAGACCTGGTTGCTTGCCGACAAGCTCCAGTCTCAGGAGGATTCTATCGCAGCCCCTGATGTGACTAGCAAAGAGAAGTACACAACTGCAGTGAGTCGTCGCAACTCTGTTACCGAGGCTGGCGGCGAGAAAGAACCAAGCCGTCAACTCTCGAGTCCCATCAGCTTTCCTCTTCAACAGGATTCTGATCCCAAGCCGCGCATTGCTTTGCCCTTGAAGGACGACTTGGAGGTTAAGACCAATTTGGTCGGTGGCAAGCCCGCTCCAGTGATCGAGCCGTCGCACTATCCGTCATCATCTGTATACTCTTCAATGCAGAACACACGCAACACTTCGCCATCAGGCTTCAAGGATGTCAGTGGTGACGACGATCGCAACAGCCTTGCTGAGAGTCTTATTGATCTCGATCTCGCCAACTTTGACTGTAGGTTTACCTTTGTCGCGAATGCTAGTATCTCAACTAATCATGCAACAGTATTCAATGACCTCAAGGAGCAGCGTTCCGATGAGAGTTATCGCACTGCCCTAGACAAGGACCCGGACTGGGACACGGCTGTACCTACTATTGTTCTATCAGGCAAGGAAGGATCAGGCGTAGACGGAATTCATACCGAGGATGAGCACCGTCGCAACTACGACATCGCGCAGAGCGTCTCTGCCCTGGAGAACCAGAAACCCGCCACACTCAGTGGTATTCAAGGAATACCCGGTGAACCCGAGACCGATATTTCCAATGACGGCAATGCACCGTCTCGGAAGTCCTCGTTCCTTCAATTCCTTGGCATTCGCAGAAACTCGAGTTCTAAAGGCCGTCGGCAGTCGCATAGTCAGTCTTCCGCGGAGCCTGAACTGTTGAGTTCCTCGTCGGTATCGAACCAGATGCTCAAGCCACGGGAGCACAATGAAAGACTTTCGAGTCACAGTATCTCGTCTTCGACGCAGCATGTCCCGAACGACAACGCGTTCACTGCACCTAAGCTCACCGAAAGCGCCACCGTAGTCTGGCAGCGAGCTTTCAAAGTTGAGCATGATCAGCGCGAGACGAAATCCACTGCAGATTCCAAGAAGTCTGCCAGGGTCAAGGCCAGTATGGGAACGATCTCGATCGATGGCAACGAAGTCTCTGGCGCTCCAGATAGAGATGCAGCCGGATCTCGCCACGGAGAAGCCATGGCTCATGACTTACTCGCGACTCGAAACGCCAGTCAGTCGAGCACTTCTCGGCAGTCTTTTTCTGGTACCATTATCCCCAGGAAGTCGGAGAACAACGATGATGGCGCAGGCACCAAATAGAATTTGGGCTTTCAAAAAATTGCTACACCTCCTTCTTCTTGGGCCAAATGGCCCTCCCATGACAGAGCCAAGAGAAGTAGTACTGCCGGCCTCGATGACGATATGACGCCGAAGGATTTTGTGGCAGTCCCCGGCACGGAAACAGCGCACTATATTGAGATCGCCGGCAAGACTTCGATGCCCAATATCGTTGAGATCAAGAAGAATTCTCAGTCCGTGTCGAAGAAGCTCGGAAAGGCCATGAAGACCAGCTTGGGGAAAATGATGCCGTCCAAGCCGGGTGCCAAGTCACCTGCTCAGCTTGAATACCCCGAGCTCGAAATCCTTCCCACCAAGGAAGGTTACAAAGACCTAGAAGCGCTCCAAAAGAGCATCGAAACATTGAAGGGCAGTGAGCATGCCAAGATGGCCACCAATCCAGCTCTTGCTATTGCTGAAATGGAGGACCAGTCGGCGTCCTCCTTGAGTACTCTTCCTGCGCAGCTCCAGGAAGCCGAGCACGCGAGACACGAATCTGCCAATGAAACCGCCAACGTCGTCCAGAATGATATTGCGCTGAAGAGCAAGGACGCTCACAGCGATGATACTGAAGCACCGACCATCCGTCCCGTTACTCCGGCTAACATGATTACGCTTCCTGCGGGAGATTCTACCGCTGCCACAACTGAGCAGTGGGCCACCCCAGCCAGTCGTCTGTCTTACACCACAGCTCTTGATGATAACGATGCAGGTGAGCATTTTGACCTTGTATTTCACAGCCTTGGAGTCTTTGCGCTTCACAAGTTCCCCATTGCCTTTACGTACGTGTTCATGCTGAAGCTAACCATGTTTTCTCAGGTGATGGTCAGCGGAGTCAGTCTTGATTATCGCAACACGATGATTGCCATTGCTGAAGTGGAGAGATCCGGCCATCGATAGTAGGACGGTGTGATTCTGTGGCGAAGAAGGATGGAGTATGGCACCTCAACACAATTTGGCACACCATGATGACGCTCAGGAAGAGCAAGGAATGTTATGAATAAAGGCGGTGGTTTTGTGGCTTGGAGAAAGTCTCGGCAAGAGCATTCAGATAGGCTATGAGACCGGCTTTTTGTATGGTATAGGATGGGGTCGAGGTTTGAATTTCCCCAAGTGTATAGCTCTTCATAGGCAAACGGATTCGAGGCATTATCTTCAAGATGACCCAAATGTCGCGGTGACACTGCTCTTGGAGGGGTGGTAATGGCTGCATGTCCACATAGGGGCCGAGCTGTTTAACGAGCTGTTGAGACTCCGATGGAAGCCATATGGTCACATCACAAATACCTGTTTGGTAAGGTACTGAAGGTCATAAATCATCAATTGCGTGGTATCCCCTAGACATCCAGCCAACGCCTCCGCATTCAGTCTACGGTATCAGTGTCCCGTAGTGCATACAACTGCCCAATCAAAATACCAGGTCCGTCCAAAAACTCCCAATGGTCTTCCCAAGTTCCCAATAACCTTGACCTGCACGACACGGAGTCATAACACGCGCGCGGGTGCTTCATCCAAAAAAGACATTCTCGAAGCTCTGCTGATCCAAGTGCTTGAACAGCACGTCCTGCAGCGCAGCCCTGCTCTTGATAATCTGCGGTACGACGCCGTCAATCTGCTGCAGGTTGGCCCGCATGCTCTCCATGTGGCTGCCGACCTGTCCCGCCAGCCCGCGCAGTTCGTCGTCCTCGAGGTCCTTGAACAGCGGCGTGCCGCTTCCGGTGCCCTCTTCGGAGACGATGAAGTTCAAGTCTGGCTCGTTGTCACGCTTGACGATGTTTTCGGCAGCGGAGGAGGAGGAGGCAGAAGTAGATGATGTAGTGCCAGGCTTCCTGGCCTCCGGCACGAGGACGTGCGTCTTGCGGAGACTATCCTTGAAGTTGCGTGCCTCGGAGCGGGCGTTCGCCTCGAGCGTTTGGAGGGTCTCGTAGTCCTCCTCCAGCGCCTTCTCCTCGCGCTCTTTTTCGGCCTTGAGGAGGTCTACTGCGTGGAGGAGGGGATCGAGCTGCCTCTCGAGGCTCGCGACGCCCTCGATGACGCGCTCAAAGTTGAGCTCCTCGACGCGTCCGCCGTCCATGTCGAGAAGCTTCCTGCTGCTGTTGCCGCCTCCCCGGCCTCCTCCTCCCGCGGGTGGCGCCGAGGCCGGTGGGAAGGGTAGGCCGCGGGAGAGTTTCTTGACGAGACGGTTCGTGATGAGGTGGAGCGCCGAGGCGGCTTGGTCGCGGCGCTTCTCGCTGCCTGGGATGCGCTGGAGGACGGGGCGCTCGGCGAGGCGGAGGAGGTTGGAGACGATGGAGAGGGAGGGGTTTGTGAGGGGGGACCATTTCTCTTCTATCACGGAGCGAGGGACTTGGCGGACGCGGGCGGCGATGTGGCGGTGTTTAGGGGCCCGTCGGACCGTTTTGGGGGCTTCGGGTTTGGGTTGCTGTTGTTGCTGTTGCTGCTTCTGTTGCTGTTTTTCTTGTTGCATTTCGTCAGATGTGCGACGCCGGCGTTTCTTTGCGGGTGCTGAGGCTTCTGCAGTCGCAGCATCTTCCGCCGCGCGTTTCTTGGATTTGCGCGGTTGAGAGGTTTGGTCCTGTGGAGATGTTGCGTCTGAAGTTCGAGGACGGCCAGGCCGGCGACGTTGGGTATCTGGTGACGCTTCTTCCTCCTCCTCGCCTTTCTTTTGCCGCTTCTTGGTCTTGGTCGGCTTCTCGGCTGTTGTCTCCTCTGCCGGAACAGGCTGCTTTTCCTTCCGCCTCCGGCCTTCTTTCGGCTCTAGCTGTGACGCTTCCTGCGCCTCTGGTTCGGCTTGCGCTGCGGGACGACCACGTCTCTTTTTAACGGCCGCTGGTTCCTCTTCAGCTGGTGGTTCCTCCGCCTCCTCCACTGTGATATCTGCCTTGCGCCCGCGTTTCTTCTTGGGGGCGGCCTCGACCTCAGCCTCCGTTTCCTCTTCGGGTGCAGGCTCCTCGACCTCCGAAGCCTTTTCCTTGGGCTTTCTTCCCCGTTTCTTGGGCGCGATGTCCTCCTCGGCAGCTTGTGATGGTTCTTCGGCTGCTGGTTTCTTGTCTAGAGACGGTCGTCCACGCTTCTTCTTGGGAGCCGGTTCTGGAGAAGCGGTTTCTTCAGGCTGGTCCTCCACTGTCTTTCCTGGCCGCCCAGGTCTCTTCTTGGCTGCGTTACTTGTGCTAGCCTCGTCTTCGTCCTGATTCTCCTCGTTCGTCTCCTTTCTTGGCTTCCGACCTGGTTTGCCCCGTGCGGCGGTCTTCTCTCCTCGGTTTTTCGATGCATGTTTATCTGCCTCTTCCTCGGCATCGTTTATATTGTTCTTGTTGGCCTTCTTCGATTTCGGTTTCGTTTGTGCCGGTTCGGGTCCCTCCTCATTCGGTTCTTGTTCTGCTGCTGCTTCTCGGGCTGGTCTGCCCCTCTTTTTGGGTTTCGGTTCCTCGGCGGGAGATGGCACTTCGGCTTCCTTTGGTTTACTTGGCCGACCGCGTTTCGCTGGTGCCGTTGCCTGCTCTGTTTCTACAGCTTCGGGAGAACCTGGCGACGCGTGAGCCGATCTGGACGCGTTTGAGGGGCGACCTCGTTTTCGCTTCTGGTCTGCGGCTTTGGGGGGCTACAATTGTGTCAGCTAGACTCAGACAATATCAGAAAACCTCGGGATTGAAAGACCTACCATTGTAATATCTTGCGCTCACAATGTGATGTCGCAAGGGTAGAGGCTGTCTCGAAGCGCATGCGAGCTTCGAGTCAGTAAGGTACCCTTCAGCATGTGAGCTCTCGACGCGTCCCCTCCACAAGGCCAGTACGTACCGGATGCTTCAGCTCCATGTGGCTGGTGGGCCCGAGACATCCAATCGTGGCTGGTGCGAGTACCCCGGACCGCCGTTCCACCTGGACGACCCGAAATGACGCGCCAGTCCTATCTCGGTTAGTGCGTGCGGAGGAAGAACCTCTCTCTCGTTCTGTGGTGCGTGCTTCCGGGCTTCTGGTGGCAGCGGGTTTCAGTGCTCTTCTGGATCCCCCAGGCGACCAAAGCTCCTTTGTTCCAGCCGGATCACCAACGAGGACAAGCACTACAAGGTTCAGGAGAAGCCACACACTCCCCGAATCCCAAAAGGGTCCCTCTCTAAACTGCCTGATTTCACACCTGTATCCATACCCGTACGCTCCTCTTCCACTTTTTTTTCCTCACATCTGAACTCTGTGTCCTTTTTTCTCGTGTGTCCAACCTTCGCGCCGGAATCCAGGTTGCCTGTATACTTTATCCTCGCCATCCCGTACTTATCGTCCCTCCTTGGTCCCTTGTTGTAGCTGTCGGCATTTTTCTCCCTCCTGCCCTGCTCGTTGAAATTACGCTTCCCCTCACTCTACCATCTCTTGGCCGATTGATCACGACATCACCTCCTTTCTCTCTCTCTCTCTCTCTCTCCGCGAAGCGACATTTCCACCACACACACACAACACAGCCATCACCAACATGCGCGTGTCCGCCACCACCCTTCTTGCGCTCCCGCTGCTTGCGACAGCGGCCGAGTCGCCCTTTGAGCAGTACAAGGCACAGTTCCAGAACTTCCTGAGCTCCTTTGGCGCCTCCGCGCCCAGCGCTGAGAAGGCGGCTACCCCCGAGGCCGCCGTGCCTGATGCGACAGCCGTCGACAAGAAGATCTCCGTCTTGACCGTCGAGAACTGGAAGGATGTTCTCTACGAGCCCGTCAAGGCCGATGCCACTACCCCTGAGGAGTGGTGGGTTCTGATCACTGGTCGTAACAAGACCTGCTTCGGTACGCTCCGCAACCGCGCGTCATATTTGAGCCATCTGCGAAAGAGATGCTAATTTCTATGTCCAGGCCACTGCGATAAGATCGAGACTGCCTTCAACGAGTCTACCATCAAGTTCGCCAAGCTTCCCGAATCTCCTCACCTGGGCCTCCTTGACTGCGACGCCCAGCCCGTCCTCTGCAACGCGTGGTCCGCCGGCACCGCGTCCATCTGGTCCATCGGCCTGTTGCCCCCTGGAGCCGACGTCGATGTCTACAGGAAGCGCCTGAACGTCACCACCACCACTTCGGACGACATTGTCGACCTGTGGAAGGCGCAGTCCAAGGAGGACTGGATTCTGACGGAGAACATTTTCCACCCCTTCAACAGCTGGATCGCCAAGAACAACCTGTCTGTCCCCGTCGGCTACGTCTTCTGGGCCTTCAACCTTGTTCCCAACTGGCTCTTCATGATCCTCGTCTCCTTTGGCAGCCGTACCCTGATGAACCGCCGTATGGGCAACACCCTTGACAACCGCGCCGCTGCTGCTGCCGGTGGAGCTCCTCCTGCCGCTGCCGCCCCCGCTGGTGGTGTTGCGCGGTAAAGGGTGTGAGTTGACTATGGACAGGCAGTTGAAGAGAGGCTGGAGGGCACATTGGTACAGTTTTGGAAATCCAGACAAATCCGGGCAGTTGTGAGGATGCAACTGAGGTCCCTGGACATTCGGATTATATAGTGCCAAATTAGTAATCTTTAGTTGATCAACTTTTTCCGTCGCATGCATCTTGCACACTCTTGAGACCTTGAATGACGTCCTCTCCGAGCTTGGGGTTGGCGAGGCGTCCGTAGCGGAGATCGCTCATGCTACCGACTGTCTGTTTGACCGACTCCGTGAGTTTTGCTTCCTGAGCCTCTAGCTCCTGGATCTCTGCTTCAAGATCCGCTATCGCTGTGTCCATCTCTGGAACAATGGAGTTGATTGTGTGTTTGGGATCTTGCGCCCCAGCCACGCCAAAGAGCTTGGTAGTAACATTAGAGACACCGTGGGTATATCTACATGGTCACAGAACGTACCGCTCTCTCAATCTCAAGCTCCTGATCAGCATCCTCGGCTTTCGCACGTTTCCGGGCACGCGCAATCTCGCGCTTGATGATCCTCCCGTTCTTCTCCTCGATTTCAATGTTTTCCGTGACCGTGTCAACGAGCGCCCTCCTTTGGTGCTGCAGATCACGGTACAAGGAACGGATTTGCGGGTTTGCGCGATGCGGTTTAGGGAAAAGCTCGGTGAACTCCTCGAGCGTGATGGCTGAGGGTAGCTGCGCCGGGACAGTCAGGTAGTTGTGCAGGATGGCGGCTTCGGTGGGTGCCATGATGGGTTGCGCTTGTCAGATGAGCGGCTGGGAAGGCAATGAGTTTAGCAAGTCGGATGCTGAGAGGTGCCTGAACTGGCCGTTTAGGTCGCAACCGGTTTTGGGGACAAGATATCTGGCAGAAAGTACTCCGTATCCGTAGTCTTTAACAAAAAGCAGGGGATGGGGTAGGCATGGATGGAAAGTCTGATTTGTGAGCCTGTGAGCCTGTGAGGTAAGGTAGGTGGACAATAGGTATGGTAGACATGGCAGGCGGGATGGGTGGCGCTTGGCTTGGGGCAGGCATGGAAGACGCGGTAGTTCTTGCGGGACGCGTTAATGAGCCGCAGCGCGTTTCACTCCGTAGGAAGAATCGACACACCTTGCCATCTTCACCTCACCCATCAGGGTTACACCTCACGAAGACGGCTCTACCCACGACAAAATCAGCAAAGAGGAAGATTGCTGATTTACCAAAAGAATTGCAGTAAGATTGAACTTCATCTGCTTTCATAATCGCTGTCAATCTTGGCTAGAAACTGACCTGTCCTCCAGCTTCATACCGTGTTAGCGACTTGATCAGCACTGTCATCCGGATTGAGCGAGGTGCCACGAGTGATCACGATTCGTACTGTGCTGGAAGCCTCGAACCTGCGCCAACTAGTTCTGGAGGTGACTGTGTATCAACATCTGGCGCACTGTCCGAGAATTTAACCTCACTGCCCCCTTTGGCCCATCAACCCTTCAACGACATCCAGGTTATCGTCAGAACCCTGCTGTCGATATTCTTTGCTGGACCTTTGCGACATACCCAGTAGATACGCCAACCTACAGCCATCTCATCCAATCATGGCGCCCGCACGCCAACCGCCCCAGCCCTTCTCCAAGGATGAGAAGGTTCTCTGTTTCCATGGTGAGATGCTGTATGAGGCCAAGATTCTCGACATCCAGCCTGCCGAGAGTGGCGAAGGATTTCAGTATCGCATTCACTACAAGGGCTGGAAGAACACCTGGGACGACTGGGTTTCTATCGATCGCATCCGCAAGTTCACAGAGGAGAATAAGGAGCTTGCTAGCCAGCTGCACGCCCAGATGAAGGACCTACGCCAGAAGAGCAGCGCCAAACCCCCCAAGAAGGGCAATCTTCGTGTCAACGGGACCGACTCAGCTCGTGGTAGTGAGGAACGAACTGCAGGTGTTGCTGCCACGGGCCGCGGCCCTCGACGGGCAAGAGATTTTGACCTCGAGCAGGTGAGTGCCAAAACCGAGTTTCTTTGTGTTCTGCTTTCTGTTCTATGTCTGTTTCAATTTTGGTTTCTTCCGGCATGTCATTGTGGTGGCCTCAAAGTAGAGGCTCATTGTGAAGTGAGCTTGAAACAAACTCCGAAAGACGCGGAGGAGGAAGGAAACGATAGGGGGTGAATGCCCTCATCCATGTGGGGCCATCAGAAAAGCTGGTCACCGAATACTTCCCGGCCTCGTCACTGCCGGGTGGCCGGTATTCATCTGGTCGAAGGCAAGAGCGTGGTGTTAAATGCCGCCCATTGAAGCACCTGCCGAAAAGAAAACTTCACCTTCCTGCCTCGAAAAGTCTTCACTGGTCAGACTTGCTCTCAACACCATCCCTTTCTCCGATCCCTCACATTTCTACTACATCCCACGCTCCTCCTCACAAATCGCTGGCTCGATTTTCTCTTCTCCTTGGTGTACCGAAAACGCCCTCCTCGCGCATTCATACTTGACGAAACAATTATCCCAACTTGTCTCGAACATTTCAGGATACACGATCACAAACTTCATCAACTATTATCACTACCCACGCTACAAGATGAGCTCCCCGTCTTGGGATCGTTTTATTCGGGTGCACAATTGGGTCCTGTCGCAGCAGGCTGCGCACTATCCTGAACCTCAGCCCAACTACTACTCTCCGCCCCAGCGCGGGTTCATGTCTCGCCTAGACTACGCCGGCCAACTCGCCCATTATCATCACAATAACCCCGTCAGTCGAGCAGAGGATGTCATCGAGCGTGAATATCGACGAGAAGTTGAGGCAGTTCGAGGCGAAGATCGCGAGGTCAAGATCAATTACGCCAGTGACTTGGACTATGAAGATTACGAAAGACCGGCCCCGGCCTCTGAAGACGACTCCCTGCTCAGCCTGCGCAATCAGCAACGCAAGAGACGTCTACCGGAGCCAGACGACGAAGAGGAAGACGCGGCTTTCAAACAGCAACACAAAAGGCGTCGAATGTATTCGGACGAAGACGACAACGGGAATGGTGACTCTAAGGAGATTCTGCCCCTGTACTCCTCTGGAGACGAGTATGACGAGTACGACGAAGAGGAGGTGGGCATGAACCCGAACCGCTTCGATCCTGAGGAGGAGGATGATTTCATACTGAGAGAATGGCGTTACGGAGATGACGAACCCGACGAAGAGGAGGAGGATGGCTTTCCACCAGTCGAAAGACGTCGCGTCTACTCAGACGATGATGAAGATATTGAGGAAATCGCTCCACTACCCAACAGACGTCGGAAGTACATATCTGACGACGATGACTTCGATGACTTCGATGACTATAACGAGGCATCTTTTCGGCAACGCAAGAAGGTTCGCCGGTGTTCCCACGAGTACGAGGGAACCGAAGACGAATTCTATCAAGCCGACGACGAAGATGAGGAAGACGAAGATCAAGCAAGCGAGCGAGCCTCAGAGTCCGATGGCGATGTGGACCCCGCATCTGTCAGCATCATCTACATATCTAGTGATGCGAGCGATGAGAGCGATGAGAGCGCTGGCAGCGCTGGCAGCGACGACGATGGGACCAGCATAACCAGCGACTCCAGCTTAGAGTTCCTTGGGGAGCGGTCCGTGCTGAACAGCATCGAGAACCAGCATAACCTACGAAACTTTCAAGATGGCGAGTCGGAAGATGCCGAGGATGTCGTCGAAGAGGTTTCGCAGAGGCCCTGCGGCATAAAGAAGAGAAAGCGTGAAAGCAGCGTGGAGGTACTCTTCGAGTTCAGTCGTCACGTTCGACACAGGCAGCAGTAGGCCGCGGTTAGCTCAACACACCAGCATCAGAAACATCGTGCTGCTGGTTCCGCCTATCTGGCAGGAACGAACCCAGACTCTCCTTCCCGCAGCAGAAACGATGTCTCCGAACTCTCATCAAAAATCCCCGCCCTTTCTTTCTCGAACCATCTCCGAACACCAGCTTCTCTTTCACACCTTTGCTTCCTCCAATTCTCTCAGACTCATTTTCAATCAAGTGGGCAATTCGACCGTCGCAAAACCACTGTAGCCTTCTCTTCAAGCGCTGCCCGGACTCCTTGCACACTCTTCACATTCATCATGGCTATCGCGTCTCGCAAATTTCGGCCGGCCGAATCATTGCGTCAGCGACCTCATCACGATAATGCAGCGACTTGGAAGGAGCCGCGCTTGCTGAGGGCGGATAATCTGGCCACCTCGCCCGCTCCCCGAGCTAGGCCGTATGTCACAAAAGACGGCAAGCCCAACTATGACAATCGCTACGATATCAGCGTCACAACTCTCAAGCGAGAACAGCCTGTCCGGACGAAGTCGTCGTCTGTCCGCTCTTTAGAATCGAGCGAGGAAGAGCTTCCGACTGTGAGTTTACAAAAACGCAGTGTTTGCCCCAGTGGGAGGCTTCCGCATTTGCGTATTGAGGAGGACTACCATCGGGAGAAACCATCATTAGTCTAATAGCCCATTGGCTTTCACGTTTTTTTTTTCTGTTGCGTCATGCCTGCTGGTCGACACAATTACTAATATCCCACAACCAGGAGGATGGATTCCATGCACGCCCGTCCATCAAGCTTCCTATCCCTGATCATATCAAGGCCATGCTTGTTGACGACTGGGAGAACATCACCAAGAACAACCAGCTGGTCCCGCTTCCTCACCCGCACCCCGTTGACGACATTCTGAGCGACTACCTCAATTACGAGCGTCCCAACAGGGAAGATGGTTCTGCAAACATGGACATTCTTGAAGAAGTCGTCGCCGGACTTCGCGAGTACTTTGAGAAGTCTCTGAGCCGGATCCTCTTGTACCGGTTAGTTTTCTGCCTGGACTTGACATCTCGAACCCTACTGATCTCTTCTTAGCTTTGAGCGCCCTCAGTACCATGAGATTCGCAAGGTGTGGGAGAAGGCTGGCGAGGAAGACAAGCACAAGTCGGTCTGCGATACCTATGGACCTGAACACTTGTGCCGCCTGATGGGTAAGTCCATTCGAGACACTCGGTCTGGCTCGGTACTAATGCAACATAGTGTCTCTTCCCGAGCTCGTTGCTCAGACAAACATGGACCAGCAATCCGTGGCGCGTCTGCGTGAGGAACTTTCCAAGCTCACCGTCTGGCTCGGCAAAAACGCAAAGAACTACTTTGTGAGCGAGTACGAAACCCCCTCTCAGGAGTATATCGACAAGGCTCGGAGTTTCTAGGCGGCCAGACCTCATCTTGCATCCTGAGTCAAACGGTTAGCCGACCTGACGGCAGACAGTTTGACGTTTCATCTTGACTTTTTTTTTTCTCGCGTTATTGGAATCCCAGCACCTGGTCACGCAGACTTGGTGAGAGGTTCAGTTGGGGGTGTGGGAAATGGACATCCAGCATCTTTGTATTGCCTGCTAGTATCAGGCATACTCAACCGGTATGAGAGTTGAGACAGATAATAATCATTGATTTCCATTTGCAAAACCACCCCTTTCCAGAAACCTTGGCGTCCTGAGAGCCGGGGAACCGAATCCGGTCCATTGTGTGCCTCATTTGACTCTTTCTTTGCAATTTCAGCAAATGGGAAGGCCGTTATTCACATGACTGGCGGATTATGCCCTTGAAAACGAAGAACCCGAATCACCGGTATCTGTTGAGTGAACTTTTTTTTGATTCCAAATGACTTGACGCAGACATCCTCGTCTGCCAATGTTGTTGTACAGCCCGCCATGATTTTGTACAGTTTTCTCCGTTGTGATGATACACGATTTGGCCTCTGCTGCGCCCGAGCTGGCGCTAACAAGCCCTCTCATGCCCCGGGGAACTTCCTCTGCGGCCCTAACATATCTCCTCTCTTCGCCCTCTGATCCGCTAGTTTTAAAACTCTCCAGAACCTCGATCCATCCCTCGATACGCCTCCAGCACTTTTTCTTTTTTACCGCGCAACAGCCTTCTCAACATAGAAGCCCGGGTCCGGCCTCCGCAGGTCGCGCATCTCGGGCTGGGTCATGGCGCGGTCGACCTCCTCGACTTTGACGAGCTCCTTGACCTTTATAATCATACCGGCGAACTGGGGGCTGACGGGGTGGAAGACGGTGTGGGAGCGGCGGCGGAGGCCGAGGGCTTCGAGGACGCCGCGGGTGGCTTTGGGGAGGCCGATGGCGGAGCGGTGGAGGGTGATGCGGAAGAAGGCCATTGTGGGCGGCGTGTCGTGTGGGATTAGGCTTGAGTCGTGGAGGAGGTATGCGACGGGCGTGTGTGGGATGGTTTGCGTTGAGAGTCGTGTGCTCGTTGCTCGTTCGATTAGGGATGAGTGATCGCTTGCTTCTGGTGAGGGACTGACGTTAGTTCCTACTGCTACGATGATTTGATAAAGTCTGGAGAGTAGGTGTGCATCATACAATTGAGCAACTGCTAAAGCAGTCTTTCTGTCGTCGCGTCGTGGGATTTCAGGGACCGACCCAATACTCGATAGTTCGTTCCTTGGTGATGCGATCGAGGGATCCAAAAATCATTAAGCTGGCGTTGGAATTTTGATGGTCCGTGCGACAGTCACGGGCGGAACTTGCCGGGACGCGGTTGACTTTGTCTCCACTTGTTGTCTGTCTATCCCCCCAGAGGGAGTTAGAATCGCAGTGAAGTCGTTATGCCCGTCGGGTTGCCCGAGTCCTCCACGTCAACTATCCTTTTCGGGATGAGAAAATGCAGGTGAGCGGCGCAAACTGTGTCCATTCCGTTGGTTTGCGATTCTTCCCTTGGAGGGGGTTAATATTGCTGTGAAGGCTACGAACGGTGGCGCGAATGAAGACATGACGTTGGCCCAGCCCGGCTCTGCGACTCACAGTCTTGAGGGGAATTAACATGGCAGCGAAGTCATTAGGCGGGCCATGACCTAGTGGTTCGCCTGTGTTCATCGCCTTCGAGGGGGTTAAAATTGCAGTGCTTGGAGACAATCGCCAACCTAGCCTGAGTTACTGGTCTACACTATGCTCACGACCATTAGCCCTAGGTTGCGTGACCGAAAAAAACAGAGGCTATTATATCAGCCTAGCCTTACAATTCATAGCCTTGGAGGGAGTTAAAATCGCAGTGAACCTGCTTTAGACACACTCGACCGCGCAAATGATAATGCTCGCCATTATCGGCCAGTTCGCAAGGCCACGGAACATACTCCGTAGATGCATGTGCATCAAGAAGGCGAACTAGCACGGAATTGATTCTGTTGATTTGTGGGTACCTTATTCGAAGACAGAGCTTTGCAGAGCATGTGCAGTTGTTCACTTATACCCTCAAGGTATGCATGTGCGCCATTTACACGAGATGTATTGCCCCCTAACGATGTCGTTGGCATCAATTCAAGTGACAATGGGCTCGTTGTTTCTCGTGAGAATGTATACCCAAGCATGGCTCACTTCAGTTTTGAGACTTCCGTTACGTTGATTCCAATCCGTGGGTTTACGACATTTCCCTTGGAGGGGAATGATATCTATTGCTGTGAAGGAGCGGGCTGTGTCCATAGTTCGCAGAAACAGATCCCAAAGAATTCATCCAAGCTACTCCCCCGAGGAGCTCAACTTAGTCCCCACCCGTGGTCTTTTCCCTTGAGGGAAGTTCAAGTCGCAGTGCAAATCTAGAATCCTCAAAAATGATTCTTGACCACATTGCCAATCGTGTTGACAAGTTTTGGGTCTGCGTTACGAGTTTTCATGTGTTCCTTTAGGGGGGTTTGGAGGCCTTAGAAAGCCTTTGGGGGGAGTTAAAGTTGCAGTGAAAAGTTACGCCTCTCACTTATTATTGGTCTACGTACTTAATTAAGTCCAGAGGCGGAGTTTGTCCCAGCCTCTAGTTAATCCATATTCCCTTGGGGGAAGTTAAACTGCAGTGAAATCATCTCGTAGTGGTTGCAACCTGCCTGCAGGGTAACGGTAGTCGCTTAGATGAATCGTTTTTCCCTTGGGGGGAATTAAAACTGCAGTGCAACGTGGCTAACGATAGCTCAGCCCCTCCTTGCGATTCATAGTATAAACATGAGGTGAGCTATATCGCAAGAACGTACTTAAAATCGAGTCATTTTCCCAATGGGCTCGCTGTTCCTTGTGAGAACAGATGCCTAGTCATTGCTCAACTCATGTTGAGAATCTGGATACCAAGTTCGATTATCTAGATCAAGCATCTTGGAAGTAGTACAATGGCAAGACCACACCAGCAAGTGTTTATTATCATGGTAAAGGGATCGGGCTCATGGTTCCTCGGCATGAGCTAGCATTAAAAAATGTCGAATCGAATACAAAGAAGACCAAATGAATCTTGAAGTAAGCTTCTGCCTGACGAGATTGACGCGATTAGGCGCAGTCGATCTAGCTTCGTCAACGAACTGCTCTATTCGGCAACTAATCCGTAGGTTCAAATGAGCAGGCAGGCAGGCAAGCAGGCAGTTGAAGGGTGCATTGAATGGGTTTCCATAGCCTCCCCGCCACACCAATCCACGTCATGCGTTTGGTCTCAGAGTCTTCTTGGAAAGCCATGTCTCCTGTGTACCCCTCGAGTAAGTAAGCTAATTATCAAAAAGGTAGTACGATAAGGCACCCCAAGTCGACACGACCATGAAGCAAAATCATGACAATCTGATAGATAACACCATTCAACTCCCGAGACCGTATAGAAACTCATCCTTCATAATGGACCAGCCAAAGGCATCCTCCCGAAAGTACATTCAAGCGCCCATGATTTCAAAACGCCCATGAAAAAGGGTCAACTCTGACGACACACAGGCCCAGCTATTGGAGTGTCTTCCAGATGCCACTGCTAACCAAGACACACTAATAGTCTCCCTGAGTGCCATCAAATTGGATCAACAGTTGTTCACGGCAGCTGGCATTCTCACGAGTCCCAAGACATGCACAACAAGTCCAAAATCTACACATTTCCGGGCCGGGTCGCCAATGCGGTCCGGACGACCCAACCAATTCGAGAAGTTCGGTTTAAGCTGATGCCAGGGCTCCATCCGAACGCTGTGTCGGCCCGCCATCCAAACCCTGAAGAGATTGCCGCCGCCGCCGCCGGGGCACAAGCGCGACTTTAGTGTCTCGGAAGTACCCGACGTCGTGGTCGAATAGATATGTAAGTAACAGTCACTGTTCACGTCACGTCATAAGCAATGATAACAGAGGTAATCGGGCAAAACCATTAGTATATCCCGGGGGACTGCGCAGCACTACACGTATATAGCTTGTCGTACAAGACGCCATTTAGCACACCATCATCCCTCGCATGACGTTAAAATCATAGACTCCATTTCTATAGCCACATCCCGTGGCAAACCGTAACCTTCCGCCGCTAACCGTTAAACCCTTACATCTGCACCTCCACTCTGCCTTCGGCGCCTGGTGCCCCGCCGCCAAGCTGAGGAAGGATGTAGGTAATGTCGTCCCACGGGTGACGGTACAGACCAGTGCGAAGTCTCTTCTGGTCGAGGTAGTGGGCAATAAGACCGATGGAACGGCCGAGAACGAACAGACCGTTGAGGACACCCATCTTGAGATAGTCCTCGGCCTCTTCGGATGAGAAGGCACCGCAGTTGCGCATCAGGTCAACGAAGCAGACAGCAATGCAGCCATCGACGTTGAGAATGAGGTTGTCCTTCTTGGAGGTGGTGACGGTCTCGACAGCCAGGGCGTAGTCGAGGAGCTTGTGGGTGGGGAACTTGGCCTTGACGTACTCCTTGACAAGCTCGACACGGAGATCGGGGTTGTTGCGGGACTTGACACGGTGACCAATACCGGGGATAAGCTTGTTCGCCTTGCGCATGTTGTCGACGAACTCACGGGGGCTCAGGCCCTTGTCGAAGGCCTTGGTGAACTCCTCAGCGGCGCCGTCAAGGGCACCACCGAAGCGGGAACCGATGGTCAGGAGACCAGCGACAAGGGAGGAGATAAGGTCCTTGCCGGCACGGGTGGTGATGATGGTGTTCATGGCACCGGACACGGCAGGGCCGTGGTCGGCAGTGAGCATGAGAACCATCTCGAGGAACTTGGAGGCGTAGGGAGGAAGGCGGCGACGGAACCACAGAAGGGACATGACACCACCGATGCCAATCTCTTCCTTGAAAACGTCGGAGATGGGCATGCCAGCGTACAGGAGCTCCTGACCACGGTCGTCGGAAATGGTGGAGATGAAGGCGGCGGGCTTACGGATGAGACCGAGCTCCTGGGCCCAGGAGTAGTCGATGGGGATCTTGGGAACGACGGGCTCAGGCTGGGGCTTGATGGTGCCGTTCTTGACGAGGCTGTCGTAGAGAGCCTTGAGGACCTGGGGCATCTCCTCAAAGGTCTCGGGGACGTAGAAGCCAGCCTCCTTCATCTTCTCGTTCTTGGTCTTGGCCGTCTCCAGGGTGGAGTTGGCGAAAGCACCGGCGTGACCGAACTGAACCTCGGTCTTGAACATGCTGGCGCAGGTTCCAATGGCCCAGGCAACGATGGGCTTGGTAATGACACCATCCTCCACGGCCTTGATGACCTTGTACTCCTCAACACCACCAACCTCACCGAGCAGGACGAGAATCTTGCAGTCGGGGTCGGCCTGGTATCTGAGCAAGTGGTCGATGAAGGTGGTTCCGGGGTATCTGTCACCACCAATGGCCACACCCTCGTAGACACCGTCGGTGTTGTTGGCGATAATGTTGTTGAGCTCGTTGGACATACCACCAGACTTGGAGACGTAACCAACGGAACCCTTGCGGTAAAGCTTGGAGGCAACGATGTTGTCCATCATGCCACCAGTGTTACCGATCTTGAAGCAGCCAGGCTTGATACCACCAACAGTGGCGGGGCCAATGATGGTGATGCCCTTCTGCTGAGCCTTGTGGGCGATCTCACGAGCGCGCTTGGTTATTTGTTAGCGGGGTACGAAACTTCAGGAGAAGAGGCTAGACTTACGCGCTCGGGGACACCCTCAGCAATGATGGCAATAGTCTTGATCTGGGGGAACTCCATCAACTCCATGGTGGAGGTGTAGACACTTCGGGAGGAGGCGAAGTTGACGACAACGTCGACGTCGGGGTGCTTGGCAATGGCCTTGTTGACCTCCTGGTAGACGGGCAGGAGGGTCTCGCTGGTTCCCCAGTACATCTTGGAGACGAACTGACCACCGAAAGTGTAGATGATACCGGCGACGGAGGGGGTCTTGCGCTTGCAGATG